GATTTGACTCAATTATCCATTTATTTCCCTCCAGTATACTGATCTGAGCTAGACTCATTTCTAGTAGACAGCATGTTGCGCCTCAATTGAACAAAATGAACAAAATAAACAACCTGAAAGATGTACGAAATGCCCCATTCGAATGTTGCTCTTCAAGTCTCATCAGATATACAAACTGCTTTGGCTTTATTGACATTTTGTTTACGCAAAGCACAACTTAGTCCTCCAAATAATGTTCAAGGTATCAGAAAGTATTCAACTGAAATAACTTCCTACCGGTCGGTTTAGAATATGAAAGTTGCGTTACGGGCAATGGTAGTTTAATTATTGTACCTCATATTTCCTCAGTCCCAGTATATGTGTTCCCTGTGTATTCTCTATAGTAGCAGCTCAGCGCCGAGATTTTTTAGTTATGCAAGCGACGGCAAAAGTGTTGGTATCCCAAGTTAGATATCCACAATACCAAGATTATTTCTAACGGGAACGGCGGCCATATGGTGTTTATGATCGGGCCACAGCAGAGGAAGAAATGAATAAGTATAACAAAACAGAGCTTATAAAAGTAAAAAATGATATAATTATATTAATAGATAATAGATGCTATACAACAACTAGAAATAAGAACTGCGCGAATAGTTCGCATGAATTTGATGAAGTCCTATATCGACTCCATATCCCTGTTTAAAGATAACTGAAAACCATGAAAGATAGGCCTTTTCCGATGTCTTAACCAAGTGAGTTACTAGTCCCTGTGGATAGAGATTGTTGTTCAATAGGATTAAGCTAAGTAAACGAATGTAACCTAAACTCACAAAAAACTGAATATTAGACCTAAATTAAACTAAACTAAACTAAACGTGTAAGTAAGCTAAGCTGAAAGGAAACTGGACTTATTAAACTATGGTTAATTAAACAAAACTCATCTAAGCTAAAGCTAAACGAATCAAATCAAAATTAACCGCAGGACACCAAATATTGACGTGCTATTGTGAGTGTTAGGCAGAGCCGAATTATAGCGGAACACGATTGATTTGAAGTAAATGCTTTTTGTTACGCCTACTTAAATTTATATAGTACCTATTTACGCATATTATTTTTATAATGGGAGGGAACCTTAAAGGTTACCCAGACCCATTATCGCATTGTCCATGGGATAAGATAATATTCCTATGTTTGTTTACCTGTCTTTTCAGGTAAATAAGTAAAGGGATCCTCATTCACGCACTGCAGTCGTGACAACGCTTTCAAATTGCGGTGAAGGCATCCCTCCAGGTTTTGGATTCCATTTGGTATGGGCTGGTGTTGGTGTGATTTTCAAATAACGGTCGTAGGAATATCGCTGTTTCGTCCTCTTTCAATAAACATCTTTGGGAAATTAACTCTATGGATTGCGTTTGGTTTTTCACACCTGGCGGTTGGATATGGTTGAAGATTTCAGTAACTGAAGACTACTAGTTCATCAGTTTTTTCAATGGTTTCGTATATGCGTTAATACCGGTCGGTTAGTACTTATTAATGCTTGATAAATTTCGCCAGTTTTCAGGTGTTAGGTAATCCACCGTATTTGCGAGGTATTACTGCGTACGTATCTGCAAATAACCCCGAGTCCGCTGGTGAAAACAAAGGATGATGTCTGGTTAAACAGAGAAGGAGAGAGCAAATCCGAAAGTATCAGCAAATATATAGGTTTATTTACTGACACCAAGGGATAAGATAATAAAAAAAATACTCAAAATCTAGAGGCTTACACTGAATCCACGTCTATTATAGAAAAAAGGGGTAATCTCAGCCTCTGGAATTCTGTTTATCTTATACGTGAGTTGGAAGCGTGCTGGAATGGTAGTGCAGACTGCTGATATGCCGATGTACGACAGGACACATGACGAAATGATTTCGCGATCGTAGACTCAGAGTAGAGAGGATGTACAGCCTCATCAAGGGTGTGTCGGCAAATTGCTTGGCCAATTTACCGTATCCTTGTATTATATTTTCAGCCGAATAAGTAAAAGAAACACCGGCAGCTAACGAAGGCGTTCGAAGGATACAGTGAAAAGTCAACGGGCCTTTGTCAGCAAGGCTGGAAAACTAAAAGGCGAGCAGTAGAAAGGCGAAAGAACATGCAACCATCTACAGATCATCAAATTAGGGCTCGGGTGTGTGATATGAACGTAGGCAATGGATATCATTTAGACGATTATGCATTGAAATGAAAAGGCTTTAAATGTGAACACATAATGAAATAGTGAATGTCAGAGTAACACCAAGGTACGGGAAAGATGATAGTTTATTTGGCACGGTGCCGAAGGATTCAGGACTTGAAGAGAGTCGCGATCGGAGAACGCACTACAGTTACTTCTGTTCAATCAGGCTGGCTTTCATATCCTGGGGATGTGACTGACTACTAAGAGGATGACCAAAAACTGTCATCAGTATAGTTAAAGTAAAAACATTCATTTTGCAATCGTATGTCGTCAGTGTGAGAGTAGAAGAGGTAAGGAAATAACAAAAACCCTTGAAGAACTCCATAGCTGTTGGTAAGGGTCATGGATTTTCGCTATTCGCCTTGGACGAACTGAGTAAAGGAAGTGAACTAATCCCTAAGCTGACAGACAGCCTAATCGGGAGAGTCACAAGCGCATTTATTTTAAGGAATATTTGACACGGGATACTGTAGTGGTCTTGTCTGAGC